ATGCTGGTTTGCTTGTGCACTTGTAAGAACGAATAAGTTGGGAAGACAAATTGCTGCACAGCACTGATAAACAGTGTTCAGTCTTGCTTAATAGCAAGAGCTTGGTCACTTCAGGCAGGGCCTGTATTGTGAGACTTCGAGGGCTTAAGGAATGATTGCTCTAACTTAAACTACTAATTATGCCTAGAAAGGGCTATACTGTAGCCAGATAAGCTAGAGCGACAATGTCTTAAAGATTTGTTCTCTCTGAATACAGTACATCACAGAACTAGCAGATGCCCTATCATACTGTCATTCAAAGAGTGTGATTCACCGAGACATCAAGCCAGAAAACTTGCTGCTTGGCTCAAACGGAGAATTAAAAATTGCTGACTTTGGATGGTCTGTGCATGCTCCATCTTCTAGGTGAGAATGCAATATATATCTTATGCAGTGAAATACTTCTGTAGTGAAAACATTAGCTTTCTTGTCATGCTTACAGTTGTGGAATGGAGGTAAATGTGAACTTCCTAAAATACTGGAAAAAATCCTTTAAGAACTGGGCCACTGCAGCAGAGGTCTTTATAGCCAACCTGTGTAGCAGGAGGAGTGTTCTGTTCCTGTGTTTGACTTGTGTAGTGCAAAACTTGCTGACCCTGAAACAATTGGAGAAGGCTGGTGTACTGCCGTAGGGTTACAGTGGGATGACAGACCAGCATGTGTGTTCAGACACCACACTAGCAAGATACCTAAGACCTTTCCTTAATTAGTGTGAATTGCACCTGATGAAGGAAGACTATATGGGGATGGAAGAAAGGAAGGATAAGACTGATTGCAGTGACTGAGACGCTTTAAGGCAAAAGTAGAAAGTTTACTGCTGGAACTTCTTTACCAGGTATTCTGGTGGTGCTGAGCCTACCCAGGGTGGGCCGTGCTGCGGTGCAGATGATTGCCAGCATTAGCTTCTGTCTGGCTTTTGAAATGGAACTTATAATTGCCATAATCAGTAAATGATTAACTTATACTTTTCTTCAGGAGAACAACTCTCTGTGGGACGCTTGACTACCTGCCTCCTGAAATGATTGAGGGGAGAACACATGATGAAAAGGTGGATATCTGGAGCCTGGGAGTTCTGTGCTATGAATTCCTTGTAGGTAAACCACCTTTTGAAGCAGAAACGTACCAGGAAACCTACAGAGCTATTTCCAGGGTATGTGCCAATGCTTATCGTAGCTGAATTCTGCTACCTTTCAGTTCTGTCTTACTGAAGCTTTAACAAATGGTCATTTTGAAGAAGGGCACGTATTGTAACTAGAACTGTAGTGAGACACAATGATATGCATAAAACTAGAGGCCTAAAACTGTCTTCAGTCATTCTGTAGAATGACTGATGAGACCCCAAGATACCTTGCTTGACTTCCTTGGTTCTACCCTGTTTCTGCCTGCATCTGAACTCCTACCTCTCTCATAAAGCAACTAATCTTCACATTTTTCCTTTTCTAACTTGTTTTTGAATGTTAAATATTCATTTTATATATAAGCTTAACTTTTCCTGTTGCATAACCTAGAAAGGTTCCAGCAAGCTAATCCTGTTTGAACTACACTGACAAATACACTAGCTTAACTTCTACAAGCAGCGAGAACCTTGCTTTTTTCAGGGTTATGATGAAATTTCTTAAGCTCATCTCAATAGGCATACAGTGCACAGCCCACAAGGCTGACACAACTTTCCTTTCTAGATGTACCTTGGAGGGTAGAGCCCTTTGTCTCTAGTTTGGTTATTGTTAAAGAATTCTTGCATCATCTTTTAGTGTCCTTCCTCTTCCGTAGGTGGAATTCAAGTTTCCTCCGTTTGTAACAGAAGGTGCGAGGGATTTGATTTCCAAGCTTCTGAAGCATAACCCATTCCATCGACTGCCCCTGAAGGATGTACTTCTTCATCCATGGATTACAGCAAATTCTACGAAGATGCCCAACAGCAGAAAGAGCGATGTTGCTGCCCCATCCAGAACACAGTCTTAGCAGGGGTAACCTCATGGGATCAACAAGAGGAGTCTCATACTGTGACTACTGTAATGCTTACAATAGGAAAAACAGGTCTTGGACTCCAATGGCAATTGGAATGCAAATCTTTGGGTTTGCTCTGTCTTAAACTCTAACTGCAGTGTAAAATTATTTGACTTTTAGCTGGAGGTTGTGGAATACTTAACATACTTGAAATCAGTTACATGTGGGCCAGGTCTGTTGATGTAAGTATTAAGCTGTTCAAGGCTCTTATGATGTGGTCTGTCCTAGTAATGGTTTGTTGTCCCAACAACAGGAGGAAGTTGTGGTTCTAGCTTATTGAACAGTGCAATATCCCGGAGATACCTGCCTCCTAACTTACTGGGCTGCTAAGGGTATCAAACTGTGGTGTAATTGGAAAGTGAGTGAGGTGAATGCATTTCTCTAAGTGTCCTAAAAATGATGTGTGCATTATGTTTGTCTCTATTTTGTCTTAAATGTGAGCACTCAACTTTTTAAATAAAGACTTGTTATATACTGCCACCAGCATGGTAATGTTCCTTATGGTGTTTATCACTTCCCCTGGCTGTCTAACCACTGGTCTCTTTACCACCAGTACAGCTTGACTCCTTGTCTGTGATCACAAAACAAGTTTAGTTCCCACCTCTGTCAAAAAGGAAGCTGGTATAAAGTTCTTACTCAAAGTGCTGGTACCACCACCAAGTAGATGTGGTCACTTCCTATTCTACAGGCACAACACAGGATTACAAGGTAAGTACCAACTGTGGTGCTACCTACCTCGTGGGGTTTCTGCTGCTACTGAAACGTAGGCCTGCTGCTTCCTTTTTTGGAAGGTCTGGAAAGTATTGTTATCAAATGGAATATATAACAGGAACTAATATTAATATCTCTTGTTGTAAGATACAAACCAACTATTTTCCAGTAAAACACTTCAAGCAAACTAAGAGAAAGCAATTTATTGTATTTTCATTATAAGACTTTAAGGCCATCTTCACTATTTTACAAACCACTTTAAAAAATGATCCCTTTACAAGCAAAGATTCTAGAATTCAAAATATATTCTCAAATTAATTTAAAATATACTTTGCAAAAAAACTTCATCCAAACAAATTGCCAGTAGTTTATACAACCATATTTATCTTAACAGGTAATCTGAATTCTGGTCATAACTTAAATGAAGTTCTGTTTCTCTACTACAAGAAAATCTCTAGTTAGTGCTGGTGACTTATTTGGGATAACAGGGGCTCTGTTGTCAGGTGGTGGTCTCTAGTATCAGCTTGCTTCTCCAGGGCAGAGGAAGTAAACTATATCTCTTCACACTTTCCCTGTCTTAATCCAGTGGCAGCAATAATACAGGCACAAGGATTGATGTGGCTATGACTCATCACCTTGGAGCACAAACTCTGCTTGCTCACTTGTGAGCCTGAGAACCCTCAGAGCATCCAGCCAGCCTGTGGGCTGGACTCTGTGCAGGGGAAAGGAGTTAAGGTGCAATTTAATGTTATGGCTGAGTGAGTAGCTTGCTGATAACAAAGTTACTTGTTCTTCCTTCCCTCCCTCAGCTAACTCCCATCCTAACCACATGATTCCTTCCTCTCAATCACTAAATTTCAGCAAAAAACCCCAAACTACTCTGATCAGTAGGGTAATTTCATGCTATTTTACTTCAAATTTCTGTATACACAAATCTGTGTCAGAGCTACCTTGGGGTCAGTGTAAGCACAAAGTCAATATAAAAAGAGCAGACCTGGAAGGAAGACCAGGTCCAAAAGACCACTAGGTCTGGCTCAAGTTATCCTACAGAAGCACAGGCCTAAGTCTGAAATCCAGGTTTACTACAATGTTATACTGACTGCCTAGTTTTGGGACCCAGTTTTTAGGTTAACTGAAAAGGGGTATGTGAACATATGCATGTGCAACATAGGAATAGTGTCCAAATAAGGAAATGCAAAGCACCTTTAACTGCTATGTTCAACAGTCTGTCAGACAAGAACACAGGAATTGCTCTTGAGAAGGCATGAATTGTAATGTCTGGACTTCAGGCGCAGATTTGAGTTCCATCCACAGGAGCAGCAGAAAGCTGCTAGGGTTAGTTTACAGATAGAAATGTTTCCAGCACAAAGCCAGATCTCACTCCATTAAAACCCCACAGATACCTTGTCTCTGACTTGATCTTTGGAATATGTTCACATGGGAGGTAATTCTGGTTACACTGATTTCAGTAGACTCAGGATTCCTTCTGAGTCTATAGGCATAAAAAAAAATTAAAAAGGACTTTTAAGTAAGGCCAGTTCCTAGCCTATAAATAAAGCATACTTTTAAACAATAAAATCTTGAAACATGGAAGCACCACAAAGGACCTATAGTTTCAGAATAGTGCATCACCTATTCTGGCTAAAACAATTATCACTGTGCAATAATTAAGCATATGGGTATTCCCACTTAGTTGTTCAGCATGTGTGTTGTACTGGAAGACTGGGGTCATAATATATGCCTCTTATAACAAAAGTGCACCCACCTACTGCTTTGAAGTCCAATATATACACTCATCTAAAGAACTATTCATATAGTAGGTTATTGTTTATTTCACAGACTATTAGGAAGAGAATCTTACTCTGTTTCCCAACATACACAGTAATAAACTAATGCTGCCCATCTATTTGGGGGGGAAAAAAAAAAAAAGCCCAAAACCCTAGATTATAAAAACCCAGAACTGTGTGTTCTAAAGAGGTTGCTCATTGTCAAGCACTTATATTACCACTTGCAGTGGAAATCAGATACCATTAACAAGTTTTTCTAAAGAAGAGGTGGCAAAAGGGAAAGATAAGGATAGCACTTCTCAGTGTGACATTTACCTGAAAGGACAAGTAAGAAATGCAATACGAGGTCACCATTAACATGAATCCAAATAAGTCTTTTAAAGAAATTTAGCAATCTGAAGAGCTACATGGATATAGAGCATTAAAAAAAAAAAGGTAAAAAACAATAAGAAATCATCATGGATTTGGGGCAGGAGGTTTGAAGAAACCAATCTTCCGGCAGTATCTGACAATGAATGGCACAGAGACTATGGTAATGCTGATTCGTACCGGAGCAAACAATTTGTGAATAGCATATGCCAACACAAATGTGCTTGTACCCGCAGCCATTTTAGATTGCAATGATGATTCACTGAAACCAAGTTTGAAGAGAACTGCAGTCATATCCACACCACTGGGGAAAAAAGAAAACAAGATTTTTTAGTTTATTTTAAGGTTGCATGCTAAAGAATATAAATTTAAAGTGCTATTTTTTTCAGGGAATTTAACATGGCATACTTCCAACTCTGGAATTTATGTTTAAATCTAGATGTTGTTAAATAATGAAAACAATGAATTATTTCAGCAGTAACAGCTCAAGTTACTTCTCTAGCAATGTAATATTTTCAGATGCACTTTTTTTTTTTCTTAAATTGAAAAGCTCCCTGCGAAGTCAAATATGTTTGTAGTTTTACAACTGCATAGCTGCAGCATGGACATGGAGAATACTCAGCCCCATGCTCAACCTTCAGAGACAAAATAATCTATTTCTCTACTTGCGAATTTTAAAAGTTAGAAATTTATGAATTTGTATTGGAAATTCATCTTCCCAAAATTTACAATACAGTCCCTGTTGTTAGGCTTAGAGTATTCTAACAGAGGAGTAAAAAGCTGTTAAAATGACAAGTATTATCTGATCTAAAATCCAGCAAGTGAAGGAAGTATTATGGATCTCAAATAAGCTTTACCCACCGAATCCATTAATACTAAGTCTCTCTAGATACAGCAGCTTTCATCAAGGCTCCCATGTTTGGAGTAATTTTCCAAAAGAAGTTGTTACTGAAACTTTTCTCCCTTCATCTGCCAGTATAGTATCTTGTAACTGAGAGTTAAGTCATACCTGAAGGAAAAAGCTGGCATTGTCACTGTGTGCCACAATGCAGTAAACAAGAGAAATCAAGCATTCACATATTTGCACTGAAGCCAAGAGTAAGCAGCACAGAATGCTTTGAGAAACAATGTGTTTCGCTATTTCCTCAGCTGAAATACCTCAAGCTCAACTGATATATCTATAACTAACTGATGCATTCCCACCAGAAGCCACATACAGAGCTTCCCACCTGGTTCCTGTACAGTTATCTAGTATTTTCTTTTTTAATCTAATCCTGTCTTAGTGGCCGTTGCCTTCTGCAGTCTCAACTGCAGAAACTGAGTTCAACACCCAGAAAAAATAAATTTATCTCTAAGCTCCAGCACTTTTGTATGGCTCTATCTTTACAGACCATACTACTGTTTGAGAACAAAAGATATCGCTGCAGAACAAAAATAAACTCTCTCATCGGGCCAGTTACTCTGGTGCAGTCTCTATTCTGCTGTTTTCACTTGCCCACCCTGGGCTGTGAACCTATGCAAAAAGGCCACGTATATCTGTCTTCTCTCATGCCTGATGGGAGACTGGATCCATTTGTGGATCCATCTATACCAAAAATTCAGAAGATTACTGTGTATAGATCAAACAAACAGACATAAAATGTGTGTCTCCTTCCAGAAATAAGCACAACAGTAAGGTATTTTTCTTGGCTAAACTATTACGCTGAGGCTACAGACAACTGTACAAACCTCACCTTGACACAGCCAGGTAGAAGATTCCTAGAGATACTAATGAAATTCCAACATGGAATGAAACCCCTACAGCACCATATTCTTTAAAAACTTGTTTCAGTTGCTGGGATTTGTTGAGTTTCTTCTTCTCACCACTGGGATCCGTGGCTGCCTTTTCAGGGGATACACCTGCATTCTAAAAAGAAAACAATTAAAAGTATTTATTAGCAGTAAGCACAATATCATATTCTAGTCAGTTGAACCAGTCTGAAATAATGAAAGAAGTGGCTGGCATGGAATGCTGTTCAGAATGCTTTGGGAAAGATAGTTAACACATTTTTGCTCTTTCCCATCAGGCTAGCAGACGCCTGTGGCAAAGCCCATGCAAGCTCCCTTTTCCCAACTATCCCTATATCAAAGGGATGCACTGAGTTTGGTGCAAGTTCTTCCACAATGCAAGTTTCATAATTAAAAGAGTTATTATAGTCCCAGTCTTCCATTTGACCCAAATGTGTGCCAAGGCACACCCACGCAGTTGCTTGAGAGATGAGACAGAGCTGCCACAGAGATCTTTGCTCACACCCACTGCTCAGCTTTATACACCGAGTTCTTGTAACGCAGCATTTTGTTCAAGGGCTACGCAGCTGATGGCACTGGAAGCCTACATGATACCATGCTGATCCTGGCTTACTGATAGAAGGGGTTCAACATTTAAGTTCCTATAAATCGCCCTCTGTAGATTAGCTGAAAAAAGGAAGAACTGGGAACTACTACTGTTGACAGCAACAAGCGATACTGTTGCCACGGTGAGGACAATAGCTACCCACACAGGCCAGTGCAAATAGCCTAACGTCACTGAAAGTATTTGTCATACTACAATTTATTGACAGCTTTTTATCTGGGTAAATTTAAAGTGCAGAACTCCATACTAAAATCTACCCCAAAGCAATCTGATTGACAGTGCAATGCAGGGCACATATGCTGCTAGTACTATGACAGCCCTTGGATACCTCCTCAGACTTGCCATAGAAGAAACACTAACTGGAGAAAGAAAGTGTTTCTACAAAGACCTCAGGATTTTTCTCTAATAGCGAGCAACTGTCAGGAACGATTAGGAGAGTCCTTTCTTTTCAGCAGCAGCCATGACACCTAAAGGCCACCACTCCCCAGAGGACAGGTACAGCTACCGCCTGCCTGGCACCACTTTGTCCTGCTCTACATCGGTCTCAGGGCACACACATTAGAAGAAAACCACTTTTGATTAATCCTCGGACTTGGTGAGATTGTAAGTTAGGATACAAGGCAGGCTCCTCTTACAATACTCATGGTAGGGTGAAATCACTTTAATCAGCGATCACCAGCCACAGCACCCCTGAAAATCTGCTGGTTTTCTCTTTTTTAATCGTAATTTGTGTTACTTTGTATTTCATTTTGACAGGAAATCATGTTGATCCATAAAGATGTACTTAAGGAATTGAGTAGCTCAACTTAGTCTTATCCCTGTATTTTTAACATTTTCAAACATAATGGATAATGGTAGACTTTTTATTTATTTTCTCATAAGCCAAAACCATATTTGAATAGAAATTGACTAAGAAAGAAAAATGTCCAGGAAAAAAAGAAATCCTTTATTGCTTAAACCAAGCAGTTTTAATACTAGATGGTAAATGAGGAAAAAAAGTTCAAATATATATATTCTTGAAGCAAGCTCATTAAGCAAAAGAATGGATTCCTAGTTAGATAATCTAATTACTTTTAGACATTGGAAGTAATTAGATTCCATACAGGGCTGTACTACATGGCTGCACTACATGGCTGCTACTTCACCATGTTTCAGAACTCATTCTCTTAATCTTGAGTTTTATTATAGGAAGAGGGGGGAGCAGGGAGGAAAGAATGCTCTTTTAACTCCCAGCCTGTAAAATTTAAATACTGAGTTATTGAATGGAACTAGTTGAATAAACTGAACAAAATAGTTTCATAATACCTTCTGCCAAAAGCTGTCCTAACAATTCAATCAATATCACATGCTTAGTCAAGAATACTCATTTATTCAACAGTGTAATTTTCTTAAGAGCCAAGCATGGTTTGCATGGCATTTTAATAGCTTATAGTGAATTCTCCATCCAAAGATGATCATTATCCATTTAAGGAGCCAAATACAAAAATTTTCTTTGGATAGCTGCCATGAAAACAGGAGCTGACAATCTACAGAGATACATAAGCCTCAGAAGAGCTCTGTGTCTTACAGCCACACTTGCAAGATGGATCATGAAGACTGAAAACCAGCTTGTTTTCATCATCCAAGTACCTTTCCATTCACTCATGCTCTCAGGCTCACTTGCCAGGCAATTTCTGAATGGTGTTGAAGCAAGATGTTAAAAAGTACCACTGCAACAGGTATTATTTGGACTACCCAGTACGGTCATGTCCTGAATGACGTACAACTTACTTAGCAAAAGACAGCTACTGATTTCCCATATAATTCTGCTAGAAAGCTAGTTTTATTCATATCACTTAGGCAAAGATTCAGCTTCTGGATGAACTAAGGCATGAAAACAAATCTGAAACATCATGTTATGCTTTGTAATGAGGCTACAGAAATTAACCTGAAAATTAAGCTGTAGAAATTAAACTGCAGATGAGGCTTTGTATTGAAAGCTCACATTCACAATCTTGGCACAAGCAGGTCCCCGTCTCCTACAGGATCCCAGCATAAACACAATTAATAGTCTACTGCAGTGTAAAAACCAGTTCCATGTAAGGCATTCATTTGCTTTTCTCCTTGAATCAGTTAAAATTTAGAAACAAACCAACAAATAGTAGAAATTCACAAAAAATTTTTCTTTCCCATCTCCAAAAAAGTCAGCTGAATATTGAAAGCAAGGTGAAACACACAATTAATGGGGTGCACGTTTGCATTTTATCTCTCAGCTAAGGCAAAGGCGCAGAGCCAGGCACCGCACCCTCCGCGGGCACCCTGCCAGCTGCCATCTTCAGGGGCTGAGACCCAGGGTGCTTTTAGAAAACCCTGAGAGCTGCCACCACTCCTGGGCTTCTCCCCGTCTGCGTGAACTACTAACCCCCCCCTTTTTTAAATTATTCTTCATGACTCACCTGAAGTGCTCCAACTCTGCAGGCTCCAGGGAAAACACACACACCACTGAGGAGGTACAGGCCAGCTGAACCCCTTATCTGGAGAACACCCCCAAACGCTGAAAACCACTTCCAGGCCCGGCCAATTTGTGCTTTACTGAAAGCTGCTATCCGCTCCTCAGCAAAACATCTCCCTCCAGAGGCCCTGCCCCCTCACACAGCGCAGTACCTCACAGGGAGCGCTCCCACACACCCTCCCACCTACCTTAGCAGAGCTCCCGGCAGCAGATCGCAGCGTTACCAGGGGCAACGAGGGGCTGAAGCCAGCCTGGGTGAGACAGGAACCGCAACCCAAAGCGCGGGGGACGGCAGCGAACCGGGGGCTGCTCGGTACCACCGACCACCGCAGCGGGCCCAGCCGCACCAGGCGGTACATAGCAACAGCGCAAGGACGGCGCAGCCCTAACTCTGCGCGCCGAGCGGGGCGAGCAATCAGACCTGACAAGTCGAACACTGAGCCCGCCGCCGCCGGGCGGCTCGGAGGTTGTTTGAGGGAGGGCGGTTGAAGATGTCGCCGCCCGCTGAAGGGGAGCGATCGCTGCTCGCTTTGGTATGAGGGAAAAAAAATCTCTAAAGGCGGTGTGTTGCCACTTGGCACGGTGTGAGGCAGTCCCCTGCCTTGCCTTGTCGGGTTAAACCCCTTCCAGTGCCTTTCTGGAGGGAGCCGTGGGAGCGTGGTCTTCTAGGTAGCTCGCTACGGGAGCAATATTGTCTTTTCGGTCCCCTCGGCGGTATTTAGGTCTGAGTGTGGAGGGGAGGTAATGCCTGTTGGTTTTTGGAGTGCTCCCGAAGTCTGCGTGTTCATTAGAGGTGGTTAAATCGCTGCTACATGCCTAATGCATGGACTCGCAGTGCAAGCGGTTTATTTAATTACTGACTTTATCTTGAAGAGCTCTAGTGATTTGCCAGGCCTTCACGGTATAGTGCAGAATGCAAACACAGAATTTTTCCACTCCCAAAGAGTTGATGGCATCTCTGAGACCAGAAGAAACCTTCTAACAAACACTGAGAAGGTTTTGCATTTATAGCCTTGTTTCTATATTAAAACCACACCAGGAAGAGTAAGAATTAAAACCACCATTGCAGTCGAACATCGCTGTGGTAGAATCGCAGATGATGTGTGGGGGTGGTGGTGTTCTGACGGGTCAATCCCAGCGCACCAGGACAGAAAGATCTGTCCACGTTGGGTAATTTTAGGGATCGATGTATAACTGTGGTGATTTCCAGCCCTTTTGTGGTGTTTCAGCCGTTCAGTGTTAATGCTACTGAACCTGGGTTTTGTCTGCAAGTTGACGACTATCCCGCACGATGCCAAGGCTTTTCGTAACTGCGATTGCTGCAGCTTTCTGAAGTGGTGGCTCCTTGCCGTCGCAGACGGGGCTGCTCACTGCAGGGGAAGGGTAAACATTGCCTAACTATATCAATGTACTGAAACAATGCATCCGAATGCTAAGCTATGGCAATAAAATACTTTTCCTAATTGCTAAGCCTTTTCTCTTCAGGCACGTTGTTGTTTTTACAGTGATGTAAGCATACAGGGCTGAGTACAATAGGAGATCTGTGTCGGATAAATGGGAGTTTTTCCCTCCGGAAGAGCTTGCAGTTCAGGCTCACAAGCTGGAACTGCACAGGACAATGCTGAATGGTACAGTGCTGAAACGGCATGGTGGGTGGCTCTTGTTAAGTGCGACAGATGGGTTTCAAGGAGTGTCCTGGAGGAAAAGAGAGAGAGTGAGCTTTGCATGCGTTAAAATACAGTCTGTTCTGGGCATAACAAGCACTGCCAGTTCTAGGGTTTTACACTTCCTCTAGTTCTTGCTTCATAAATCTAGTCTCTCTCTGAATGCTTTGTAGAAGAATAGTTTCTCAGAACACAATTTCACCTATTTATTTTGTTCACATATTTATTATGTTTGTTACTGTTCCAAAGCAATTTGCTAATGTGTTTTCTGACTATTTATACACCAGCACTACCTGAGTAGATGGATGATGTTAACATGGCAATGCTCTAATCATAGCACACTACAACTTTGTCTCTTTTTTTTTTTTTTCCTGAATCATAAAAAATCCCAGGAATTAATTCTGGTGTCAGTAAACAAGATGTCAGTCAAGTTCCACTGGCGTGGACCACCACTGGGCTCTGCACATATGCACCAAACACTTCCCTGTGTTCGTCTGGCAGACCCATTGGGGCCATTGCATGGTAGACAACACAGAGCTGCGCTCTTGTGACATATGTGTTACACTGCTGCTAGGTGTCTGGAAATGCTGGGCAAGTGCAGCAAGGAGCAGGAGGTCAGTTAATGAGGCATAAAAGCATTAGGGTTGGCAGTTTTGTACGTACGGTCTGGCTGTCTGCTGTCTCCAAAATCTCAGTGGGAGGTTTTGCTTAGAAGCAGGAAAGGAATACCATAAACATCAAATGATATATGCTCATTGAAAAATAAGCAAACACCCTGGCTTAAGAGACCTTACTGTGAAGATAGTTTACAAATGCAGGGAAAAAGAGACATTACCTCCATCCTGCTCACTGTAATTAAGACGAAGGAGAGCAGGTACAACTTTGACAGGTAGCTCAAGGAAAGGCTTCCACACAGACAAACATTCATGTTATCCTGGGTGTGCAGGTCCCTCTGTGACATGTGGAACAACGGTTACTCCTTGTATGTCTCTATATTTACCTCTCTTTGCCTATGATAGAAGGACTTGGGGCCATCTTCCGTTTGCAAGTTCTACCGAGTTGTTATTTACTGCCTGAAGTCTTCAGGCGTTGCTGGGACACCTCGAATCTCACCTATAAGCCTGGAAGTATAAGTAACCCTGATGGTGCAGCTGAAAGGCAACTTGGCAAGTATGAAGTTAAAGACTGGCGAGCCTTAGAATTCACTTGCAATTCACGTGGCTGTTGGGAGGACTGGGACTAACAAAGAACTGCCTTGAACTTGTATTTACTAGCTGTTAACATGCTGGATCCCATGGGAGGATGTGATATTGAACGCACCAGAGCGGGCACAATTGCAGTTGAATGCGAAGGAGAGATTCACTTTTTGGTTACTGAGTTTCTCTGTTACATTCATACAATGCATTTATCTTTCATGTAAATAAAGGCGATTGCTATTGTTAGTGAGCAGGACTGAGTAGCAGTTTTCATTTTTCTAAAATTAACTCAAACTGTCCTATTGCTCTTTGATAATTGCAATATCAGTCTTTATATAATAGGTCCATTTTTCAAGCAATACCTTAATAATTTATCTTATATAAATGTATTTATTTCTCTTTCGTTCATTTTCTCACAAGCACTCATGTATCAAAATGTTTCGGTATCTATACTAAATATAAGAGAAACTGAAAAAATGGATGCTACTAAATGCCTAAATATTTACAGATCTCAAAAGTACGTTCAGCAGTCCTGAAACAAGAGCGTGGTGTGTTGAGATGTGAACCCCAAATCAAGACGGCTCAAGGATCTGTTATTTAAGAATAGACTTGGATTGACGATGCACTTGATCTACTGCACTGTGACCTCTCTGAACCACTGCTTCGTGCCTCAGCCTCTGGCTATGCAGATTTGTTATTATTTTCCTTTTGTAATTTTCCAGCAGCCAGATAGTGCTGCTCTGGTTTTGTGGTGTTATTGCATCGTTAGTGTTTATCGCCAGTAAGAGTAAAGCTGGGAGTTAAGATGAGAGGTTGCCAGAATAGGCAGTAAGTGAAGTGTCACCAGAAGATGCATTTGGATTCCAGTGAGGCTGAGACTTTTCCGTAGTGACCACTCTCGTATAATTTGTGAGAAATGTTTGTCATGCTTTTATCAGGACATTTAAAATAAAGTAGCATTGGGATACCCTTTATCAAGATATCTATTATAAACCCCTTACATAACACCTTTCCTCCCATAATTTTTTTTGAAGTGAAAATCCCTCTTTTTACAGCGCTGTAGGAACAGTGATGGAACTGAAGTATGCTGTAACATGCAATTTCTGTAACTGGAAATCTGTGTGGCAGAATTGTTCAATCTGTGGTTTGCCAACAGCGCAAGCGAAATGCTGCCCGGGATGCAGGATGTGGGACCCTGCAATGAGCTCGTTCAGGAGTTCAGTTCATTTGTCAGGGTAAATGTGATTAGTAATTCAGTAATGGCTTACTTTTAATGCCTTAGTCAAACTGCAGTGATGTTTTGATGATGAAGAAATCTTGGAAGTCGTCTAGGTTTTATAAATTGCATGAAAGCAAATTCATTACACGTTTTTCAAAAATCATTTCATCTACAGATAATTCAGGGATCGTGAATATGACAGCTACAAAATAGAGCTTGCCTTCTAACAGGCAAGTAGGAATTGGTTCCTGTGTGAAAGTGGGAGGCAATTGCTTATGCGTGATGGAAGCTGTATCAGTGAGTATTATTACAACTGTAGTAATGCGATGTACATAAATGTAATGAGAGAAGTTGGGAACTGATCATGAACCTCATTCAGGAAAGAAGCTAAGGTGAATTTTTTTTTATATTATAGTAAATTAAGGCCATGGCATGTGAACTAGTTTTAAGTGGACTAGCTCTTTAGTACATTGGCTCTTTCACATCATGTTCCAAGGGTGCTTAAATTGTAAAGCTGAGATAATGTGAGTAGTTGATAAGATGAAAATGAATTAAAATGATATCAGGAAAGGAATATCAGGAAGTTTTAATTCCTTGAAATTAAAATTTCTATCTGTGCAAAGTATAACGCAGGGCCTGTTTATTACTTGAGGAATCCATATGCAGTTTATAAACTTACTTAGTAGGAAATTTCTCTGTCATGAATGCTCAAGTACATACAGTTAGCTTTCAGGGACATCTTCCTTCTCAAGCAAAACCAGTGGAAAATGATTAAAACTTGATAGCCTCTATTCAAATGGGAGAACAATGCACTGCTAGGGCAGCTAAATCCAAAGGGAACCAGCCCACGTGGGTTGGTTTGTCTGAGAGGAATTTAGGGTGAGAAAACTCTCCAAACAGGAGAGCAAAGGAGGAATGATTTGCTTTATTTACCTGCAGATCCTTCAAGAATGGGGCTGTGTGACCATGTTTCATTCTGGTGCCCTGGAGAGGGGTGGGAACTTCTGCTGCAGAGCTCTGGGTGTCCGAGCCAGGGGAACTACAGGTTCAACCTGAATCCCTCTGATAGCAAATCTGGGAATTTACGTGATGACTTTTGTGGGACCCTCTGGAAAAGATGAATTTCACCTACTAAGCAGATCTGGCTCTTTGTCCCCCTAGTTGTCTTGAGCAAAAAAGGGGTGTAAAATAAAACCAGAAGAAAATAGTAGTGAAAACATCCAAATTGCTTGTATTTATGTGATCCACTGCTGATTTCATGTGCCCATCCTTGGCAAGCA